TATAGCTGGTTCACGTATAGAGGATGACGGCTTATTAGTTCTAAGTAGTGGCAGAGGTCCATGTGGTAGATCAAAAAGTTCCAACCTCATTAAGTGTCAATATGGTGTCATATCATGAAATTTTTGTTTTTACAGTGTTTTTTTCCTTATAAACCTAGAAAATTGCATGAAATAATTTATGTTAAATGCATTTTATTTAAAATGCTGCACTCAAAAGTTAGAAAATACTAGAATTAAGGCGGCTGGTGTAATCTTAATACTACCCCTTGTGTGTCTGCATTGTCATGTAGTCTGCAATTACACTATTAGTAGTAGTAGCAGTAGTATTATCATGTCCTACTCACAGGCTCAGAGTAGCTTACAGGCAATCCATAAGATACAAAACAGCAACAGACTCCCCAAATGACACCCCCAAACTTCAGAAGTCTATGCTCCTATACCCACTCCAGCTTTCCGTCGTATCACCAAGGACAACAAATCCTCCAGCCCATCCCAACTGTGCTTCGCAACTATTCTAACAACCGTTCACTTCAAGTATAGAAAACTTCTTCTGACTTTTCTCACCCAGGGGAGATCCTTCCTCTCTCTCCCACTGCCTCTCCCAAGCTCACACTCCTCTCTCCAGTGGGTCCGTGGCTATATACATAACTCCTCCACCTCCTCCCACCAAATGCATTACATTTGGAAGAACCACAACAGGGAAATAACGTGAAGACCCTCCACCCCACCAAGGGGCAGCACCAGAGGCATCACTTTCAGTAGTGTCTGCCTGGGCACCCACCATAGGGAGGTCTGCTGGCTCTGTAGGCCCTGAAGCTGACTGGGTCCTTCTCCCTCATAGTCATAGTGATAGCAGTTGCCATGAAGGTGGAGGAGCAGAGATAAAAGTTCAGGAAGGTAGAGTAACAGTGATAGAGATAGAAGAGCAGAACTATGAATTTATGGAAGTACAAGAGCAAGCAAAGGAAGATATGGAAGTGGAGGAGTACTCAGTTTGGCTGAAGCAGCTCTGGAACTCCCCTTGCCCCTGAGACAGCAGAGATAGTGGTAGTGGCAGAGGTGGGGAAGTGAGGGAGGGGATGTGACTGAGCAGGGGGGCAAGGGGGAAAATTTTCACCTGCTTTGCAGACTTAAAAAAAGTCCCCAACTACTGCTCCCATGGTGCGGTCTGCCCACCCTGGTAGGGGGGTGGGGGAAGGAGGCTGTGGGCAGGAATTGCAGCCACCCCTACAGTGTCAGTTGCTGTGCCTGCATGTCCCTTGGTAAAATCTTGGAACGTTTGTAGATGACACTTTAAAGTGGGTTAAATGCCTTTTGCCTTTAATGGCATTGCTGTAGGAAATTCAGCATCGTAATGTGCCTTAAATAACTTTGGGTTGCAGCAAATGACTTTGGGGCGCTGCAAAGTAAAACACCTCTGAGGAGTTTTAGTTTCCTACCCTACAGCCATGGAGCAAAGCACTGGGCTCCATGCGGCTGAGGAGCTGTGTAGGCAGCCCATGCAGGCAGCCTGGCAGCAGCCTGGGAAGGCAGGCTGCACAGAAGGAAAAAAAAAAAAAAAGCAGCAAGCCTGATCTCTTTTTCTTTTTACTCCCTGGATCCTGTCTGAGCTGCGTGGGGGCCCGGTGCTTCCTTCCATGGCTGCAGTGCCCCCCAGGACTGCCTGAACTGGCTGCCTGTGGGTAGGCACTGCCTGGAGGAGTGGGGGGGCTGCTGCTGCTGTGGAGGGAAGCACCCCCCCACCCCCGCAGCTCAGGGACCGCTCTACCCACCAGCAGCTCACTATCCCCTCCCTGCGGTTGGAGAGGCAGGTAAGGATTGGGCTCTGACACAGGTGTACACAACATGGGATTTTTCTTCGACCTAAATTGACACGGTGTTTTTAAAAAACCACCACTTCAATTTAGGGAGCATAAAATCCCTGTGTTGTGTACAAGTTCCCATAGGTCCCAAAGCATGAGAGCCTACACCTAATGTAATCAACTTCCTCCCTCCTGGTCACTTGAATCTGGTCTCAGTGCCTCTCTGTTGCAGAGCTCCTCTGCAATCTCTTCATGTTAGGTATAGGAATTTAACCCTTTCTCCACCTTGGCTGGGCCAGGAGAACATCTAATGCTCACCACTATGTAGCCAGAACACTGAAGAACTTCTTATTAGAAGATTTAGAAGTGTTTTCCAGCTTAACATGCCATGGGATCTGCTTTGTATATACCTCTCCATCTCCACTGGCCGGGTACCAATCTGGTCTGCTCCTCTGTCTCTGGAAGGTCCTTGGTCTCTTCCTCTAGTGGTGCAAGCAAACTCTGATCTCGCCTATCCTCAGAGTCTAGCCCTTGACCATCCCCTTCTGCCCTGAAACCACACCTTACATAATCACATTTCGCTTTTTCTGCGAGACCCTTGCCTCATTTAGTGCAGAGGATGAATATGTTTTATGAACAAATCAGGGTTGTAAAATAAAGAGGACAACTGTCTATAAGCCTCTGTCTAACTTGTTGTAGAAGTTGGACTGTGTGTATTGAATAAAACAGGGGCTTGTTGGAAGAGAAGGGTAGTGTTGTGGTTATAGCAGTTGAATGCTGTCATCGGGAATTGTTGGATTTCATTGTTGCCTCTAGTACAGAGTCCTTGTATGATGCTGAGCAAGTCATGAACACCAAGCTAGGTGGTCACTAATTATGTGTTTCTCTTTTTCTGAATGTCCAGGTGGACCAATCGCCTTTTGCCCAGTAGTCTGCTGGTTACAGCACTTGCCTAGCAGTTGGGAGAGCTGAGTTCTAGGTCCACTTCACCCTGTTGGAATCTATACCTTCTGCCTCTCTGGAGAATGGCTGAGACACCAGGCACCAGGCTACGATAGGCTAAGAATAACTCTCTCTCTCCTGCTGAAGGTGGGCAAGTTTGCAGCTAAGAGTGGAAGATTTACGTGAGTAGCCCTGCAAATTAAAGAGAGCCTGGCTCTGTGGCCCAATAAGGTAGGCACTGTCCTAGAAGAAGGCTAGCTAATCCTGGGTTTTGCTCACTGCTCCCAATGCTGTTAATGAATTTTAACCAATGACTCTTTCATGTAAAATGCCTAAACAAGCCTGGCAGGAGGGACTGGAAGAAAGAACTCCCTTCCAGCTGGATTCCCTCATCACTAGGGGTGCAGACAGACTTTAGGGCCCTCCTGTAACTCATGGCACTTACCATAAGGTGCCATGAGTTAAAGCACCCTCTCCCCCCATAACACATTTACCTGTTGGGTTGGGAGATGGGGGGTGGGGAGGGGTTGGAGGCAGCCTGCACTGGCCCAGGTCAGCATGTGGGGGTGCTCCAGCAGCCTCCCAGGAGCAAGGGAGCCCCCAGCTGCTGAATGGCCAGAGACAAATGAGGTGGAGAATGGGGCCCCCTTTGCCTCACAGCCCTATCTCAGGACAGGCTGGGTCCTTGAGGTGGGGGGGCTCCATTTAATACCAGGGTTAATTTTTCACATGATCAGCCATTTTTAAAGTGCTCTGCAGCTGTGGACATGTGTTTAGTCATAGCTGTAGAGTGCTTTCAGGGGCCAGATTCCTCTAAAATTGTCATTTCTGTCTGCACCCTAGGATACATCCACACCTTCCTGCTTGTTTTATTGTCTGTTTATGTATTTGACATTAGAAAGTCATTGGCTGAAAAACAGAAGCAACCTGGAAGCTAGGACCAGAACCCAGGATTGCCCCTTCCAGAGGGTAGCACCTGCCTCACTGGGCCAGAGAGTCATTCTTTCTCTCACTTGCTCTCTTTCTGGCCCTGTGACACTTGCTGTCCTTTCTGCTCAATGGCCCATCTTCAGAGGGGGACTGAAGTATATCCAGAGCCCAGCCTAAGAGTTAGAACACTTGGCTGGGAAGGGCCAGATTAAAAAAACCCTGAAGATGTGTGGGACCTAGACCACTTCTCTCATGCTAGGTAAGTGCTTAAACTTACTAGGCTATTGAGGAAAAGTTGGTCACCTTATCCTTCTCTCCCACTGGACCATGGAAGTCAAGGCAATGCTACTAGTTAGACATGCCATATTACCTCTCCTCTGAATGAATTGCATTCCAACAGGGTCTCGCACCTCTTCGTGAATCAGATCAAGATGAATGCTGACATGACAGAAGCCCATGTAGCAGCCCATTATTTCATTCACTGAGAGCACAGGAGAGGTAAGCGTATCTCCCTGGGCAGAATGTGGGAGGAAGGGTACAGGGGAAAGGGGAGGCACTGTGGGGGTATACAAGCTTACCTGATGTCTGTTGAGAGAATGGGAGAGCTATGCATCTCTGAAGGATGGAACATGATCAACACATTGGGTTATATTCATTGAGGCAATGGGAGACCTAATTGCCTTAGAAGTAAAGTAGGACAATTCTTCTGAGAGAGACATAATTTTGGGATGAACTGAATTTAAGTCTTTAGAGACCTCATAGTTGAAGTGACACTTGGGTCTATATTTGCACTGCACCTGCCACAGTACACAATGGCTTCTGGACATTACTGACATTTAACTATGGTGTTTAATATCAGTATTAACAATAACAATTAGCAATGGATTTTTGAAGTAAAGGGTAAATTTATAATCTTTTTCAGGGAAGCAAGTATTTCAGAAGCCCAGAGATGGAAAAACTGTAGTAGCTGTGTGCAAAGCTGAGGGTGGAGTGAACACAAACTGAATCCCTTTCTCATCTCATTTAAGACCAGGCTGCAGGTGTACCAAATTCCATTCTGTTCTCTGTATTTCTGATTATCTGAATGAAAAAAAAATCCTTTATGTGAACATAGGCAGGCAAAGTTCTTTGAGTAGATGTGATATCTTTTATTAAACCAACCGAGTAGTTAGAAAAAAGTTCTTAGCAAGCTTTCAGGCACACACACCCTTCTTCAGACACAGGGAGTCTTTCCTGGCCTTTATGGAAATATATTTGTTTATGATACATCTTGTTGTCTCCTTTGTAGGAAAAAAGGAGCTTTTTGTCACAAGTGAAGGTTTCCAAATGGACAAGTGGAATGTGACCTATTCTACCTTCACTGAAAACTCCATGAATTATAATATAACAACAGGAAACTCTTCTGTTGAAAACACATTTGTATTTGTAACAGGTTTAGTTTGGCTAATGATGATCATCTCCTTCCTTGGCTTTGTTGAGAATGGACTAATGTTCTGGTTCCTCTGTTTTAAAATCAGAAGGAACCCTTTCACTGTCTACATCGCCAACCTTTGTGTGGCTGATACCTGCTTACTCCTTTGTGACTTTGTTCTGTTAGTTCACTATGCTTTAGCTTCTGAAGACAGTTTTGGTAATTACCACACACTAACCTTCTTCACTTTTACCTTCCTTTTTGGGTATAACACTGGCCTCTGTTTCTTAACTGTCATCAGTGTTGAGAGGTGTTTATGTGTACTTTACCCAGTGTGGTACCGATGTCACCGTTCGAGGCACCAGTCAGCTATTGTGTGCACCATTTTGTGGACATTTTCTTGTCTGGTCACTATTGCAGAATATTGTGTATGCATTGATACACTTACTGAAGAGGCAGTAGAAAGTTACAGGGAAATATGCCAGGGAATGATTATCTTCCTTTCTATTCTGAATTTCTTGTTGTGTGCTCCACTCATGATTCTATCCAGCTTGATCCTTGTCATGAAGACTTATAAAACCTCCCTAACATCTCATTCTTCAAAGTTCTACAAAATCATAGTGACTACAGTCATTATCTACCTTATCTTTGCCTTGCCTCTCAGGATCCTGCATCTCTTGCAATATTATTATAATTCATTACTTCCAGAAGTAATGGGGACCCTCTTTATGTTACTGTCCACCATCAACAGTGCTGTCAATCCCCTCATTTATTATTTGGTGGGGAGTAGTAAGGGAAAACGATTCAGAGAATCCCTCAAAGTAGTCTTTGACAGGGCCTTCAAAGATGGATCAGAACCAGAATCTCAGGAAACTGCTGTCTATCAAAGAGCTGCTTCAGAACGAGCTCACTAATGCTCAAGAACATTCAAAAGCAAAGTAAAGCATGGTGTGCATGGAAGTTAACACAAGCACCCTTATATAAGGAGATGGATTTTTATCTCTTTGGCAGTAGAAACAAGCTATTGTTTTTCAGGGGGGACACATACCTATTTTTCCTAATGTTCCTTTGTTTCAACTACAGATATAACTCTTTGTCTTTAAACACCAGAATTATGTAATGTTGGATTGACTCTTTCTGCCTTGTTTTTAGTACAGTAATATATTCATTTGAAAAAACAAACTATGAAATGTATTGTACTATGACAATGTTGCCACATGTTAAAATCTGTCGGAGTGAATGAAAAGGAGCAGACCTAATAAACTGTTTTGAGACCCTTTCACAGCAGAGTTTTTAATTCATTTTTCTTAAAACATTCAATTCAATATTTGAACTTAATTGGTTTCTTCTTCCTCTAGACCAGATTCTGACTGTGGTTATGTTCATGTAAATCTGGAGTCATACTACTAATTTCAGTACAACTTCTCCAGATTGACATTAATCTACATTTGAGATTGGAAACTGGCCCCTTTTCTTTTCTTTGTAAACAGGCGATCTGTTATTATAATATCAACAAATCTCTCATGATGATATTTGTACATTACTATTCTTTGGCACTAACTTTTTCTGACTAATTTGATAGTTGTAAATGTATATTTAATGAGTTAATTGTTCATTTGCATAATATTGTTATGGGACTCATTTTTTATCCCACCTACTCCAGCAACTCCTGGGGTAGAGAAATTTAATATCTATATTTAAAGCAATAGGATGTTATCTCTCAACTGAAAGATTTACAGTAGATCAGCTGAAACCTTTGTTCTTTTATCACATCTGCTTTCTATTGCCAAACATATTACAATGAAAAGTAATGGAAAAGTACATATGCATTATAACATTTACTGTATGTCTGGATATATTTGTATATGTATATAATTTGTATATGTGTATAGGTATATATCTGTGTATAAATATTTAGGATGTATTTACATAGACATATTATATGTTAATTATATCCTCATCAATATTACTTTATGCTCAGATTTTCACTGTTGGCCTTATTTGGCCTGAATGAGACTTGGGGCAGGGGGGCAAGATGCACACACCAATAAAGGCCAGCCTTGCAAGTACCTGGCAGGGAGGTGGGTGAAAGAATGATTCTTTCTTTCTGTATTTGCAACATGAACAGACCATGCTTCATTCTTGTCCTTCCTGTAGTTAAAATAGCAATGTAGGAAATTAGGCAACCTTCCCAATTATCATTTAGGAGTTGTGTCCCTTGGTGATCTCTCATTCACACATACAACAGTATACAAAATATGTCTTATATACAAGAATAAAAAGGGTAACTGCCATTTGTGCCCCCTGCCTGGCCATCTGGGCAGCTATCACCTGGAAGATGTTCTGGGAGTAGAGGCCTGCTTTGAACTGTCAAAGCATGTCCTCCTGGCCTCATTTGTCCAGGAGGTCAGCCACAGCCAGTTGGGTCCAAGGTGCCAGCTCTGAGCAGGCAGGGTCCTGCCACTGGCCACCCTAGCAGGAATTCTGGTGTTCCCTGTTGGAAAACTGGATATCTATAGCTAGCTGGATATCTGTAGGAGGTCTGCCAGTTCCCTGGAGAGCCAAGGGGGCTGCTGTGCCCTTTTACTGGCCTCTCAGAGGAAAGGTAGCAAAAGGGCATAGTAGCCCCCTTGGCTCTCCAGGGAACTGGCAGACCTCCTGCATCTTAAAAGGAAGACCTATGAAGGATGGATGACTGGAACTGCTACCAAGGAAGAATACTCTGCTTTAGTCCAGACTTGCAGAGAGCAAATCAGGATAGCCAAGACTGTGATGGAACTCCAGCTAGCTACAAATACCAAGGAAAATAAAAAGTCCTTTTTTAGATATGTGGGGAGCTGGAGGAAAAGCAAGGGCAACATTGGACCCCTGCTAAACCAGATGGGGCAACTGACGCCCAGGAAAAAGCGAACTTGCTGAACGGGTACTTTGCGTCAGTTTTCCATCAGCCTCATAGGATGGCCCCGCCCACTATGGGTGAGGGAGGCCCGGGTGAGGGAGATTCCTTGCCCTCCATTGAAGCTGACCTCGTGAAGGAACACCTTGACAGGCTGGATACCTTCAAGTTAACTGGTCCTGATGGTTACACCCAAGGGTACTCAGGGAGCTGGTGAGCTTCATAGCTCAGCCACTGGCACGGATCTTTGAGGGTTCTTGGCACTCTGGTGAAGTGCCCAGTGATTGGAAGAGGGCCAATGTTGTGCCTATGTTCAAGAAAGGGAGGAAAGTAGATCCGGCAAACTACAGGCTCATCAGCCTGACCTCCATCCTGGGGAAAGTCTTGGAAAAGATTATCAGGGAGGCCATCCTTAACAGACTAGTTGAAGGCAATATCCTGAGGGATACCCAGCATGGGTTTGTTGTGGGTAGGTCTTGCTTGACCAGTCTCATTTCCTTTTATGACCAGGTGACTTATCACCTGGACAAAGGGGAAGAGATTGATGTCATATACCTTGACTTTAAAAAAGCCTTTGATCTGGTATCCCATGATCACCTCTTGGTTAAACTGGCTAACTGCAGCCTTGACATCACCACAATCCGCTGGCTAGGGAACTGGCTCTGCGGTAGGACCCAGAGGGTGGTGGTCAAAGGGAGCCAATTGTCTTGGTGTGCTGTGACCAGTGGGGTCCCTCAGGGCTCTGTCTTAGGGCCTATACTATTTAACATCTTCATCAATGATGTGGACATTGGTGTCAGAAGTGGACTGGCCAAGTTTGCCGATGACACCAAACTCTGGGGTAAAGCATCCACAGCTGAGGAGAGGAGGATGATCCAGGCTGACCTGGACAGGCTCAGCAAAT